TGTTCAACAGTTTTTTTTTTAAATGACATTTCCTGATACTCAAGTGCCTCATCCTATTTCTGTTAACAATTTAACCAATAGAATCAATTGTGAATAGAACTGTAATGTGTGGAAAACAGAACCCCCAAAAAGACACACTATAGCGGTATCTTCTTCTTCTACCTTTCTATCCCCCAATGGAGCATAGGCCCTCAACCAACTCACGCTAAGTCATTCTATCCTTCACCATTGCTTGGAGCTCTCCCCATGTCCTCACTATCTTTTTAACTTCATTCTCCAGCTCTCTTCTCCATGTGTTTTTTGGCCTTCCCTTATTCCTATGACCCTGTGGGTTCCAATGCAAAGACATTCTGTTTATGCTATTCTCCTGTTTTCTCAGTCTGTGACATATCCAACACCAGCGTCTCTTCCTCACCCCTTGGTCCACTGGAGCCTGTTTAGTTCTCTCTCAAAGTTCTGCATTAGTTATTCTATCATACTATTTAATTCCTCTATTCTACTACTACTACTACAACTGCTACTACTACTACTACTACTACTACTACTACTACTACTACTACTACTACTACTACTACTACTACTACTACTACTACTACTACTACTACTACTACTACTACAACTACTACTACTACTACAACAACTACTACTACTAATACTACTGCTACTACTAGTTCTACTATAACTACTACTACTACTAATACTACTACTATTATTATTTCTTCGTCCTCTTTTCTTCTTTGTTGCGTCGTCGTGTTCACCAGCTGTAAATCCCGGCAGAACGATCTGGTTGATTATCTACTCCTGGACTTTAGTGATGTTCCAGAACGTGTTTTGAATGCACATCCGTTTTACAGACACCCCCCCCCCCCCGCTCCCGCTTTTGTCATGTATATTACAAGTATAAATATTATGAATGTTGATGATGCTGTTGGCACTATTACTACTACAACTTACATTTGTACCACTGCTGCTGCTTCTAATACTACTTTTACTACTGTACTACAATTGCACTACCACTACTGTTACTACTACTGCTGCTACCACCAATACTACTACTATTGCTACTGCTGCTACTATCATTATGAAGGTGTAAATTAAAACAAACATAAACACAAGAAACAACAAGACATTTATTGTACAGCTTCTCCTGCAGACCAGAAAAAAAGTAAGGGGTGAACCTCACAGCCATTTATACATCCCACATTACGTAAAAACTTGATCAAACAACGAAACAAAACATGTTTACTTACACGACCACCCCATCCACCGCCGATACCCCCACTCCAGCCTCCGACACCTCCACTCCAGCCTCCGAGACCTCCCCAGCTTCCAGCACTGGCCCAGCTGCTTGCACCTCCCAAACTCCCAACGCCTCCCCAGTTTCCAACGCCTCCCCAGTTTCCAAGGCCTCCCCAGTTTCCAACACCTCCATATCCGCCCCAGCTTCCAAGGCCGCCATAGTTTCCATATCCACCGTATTTTCCTAGGCCACCAAAGTTTCCGTATCCGCCGGATTTTCCTAGGCTCCCATAGTTTCCGTATGCGCCATATTTTCCTAGGCCACCAAAGTTTCCGTTTCCACCGTAGTTTCCTAGGCCACCATAGCCCCCGAAACCGCCCCATCCACCTCCATATTTCCCAACATTCAACTTGTTTCCGTAGCTATAGGCAACAGACACAGAAGCAATGGCTGCCAGAATCAGAAGAACTTGAACAGACGTCATTGGATACTGGACTCTGCAGAGAATAATGTTGGGTTTCATTGCCACAGATATCATAGTACTCGTACAACACACTGTTAGCCGTTAGTGACCGTGTCCTTTGCAGGACGTAGCAGAACCGGTTCTAACAATTTTATTTATGTTTGTGATTTTAGTAAACAAGTTAAGAAGACTACTGTTGCCTCTCGATAACACTGTCAAAATACATGCAAGGTGGTCTGCTGCCAGTTCGCCTGCAGCTTGGATCGAACCCGGAACCTCGGCATTACAAGGCGCGTTTGCAACTCCTAAGCCACCGACTTCGCGGTAGTACAGAGACACGCTGTTCGGTGCACAAGGATTTCATTTTAAGCGAACATATAGTATGTTTGAGATTGTGGAAAACCGTGAATCGGTAAATATATTTTACAAACAATAATGAGTCATATAGCATATGGGGTTGATGAAAGAAATAACATAGCGAGAAACAAACGAAACGGGAAATAAATAATTTTAAAAAGCGAGACAAGAGCAAATCATGCTTGTACGCACAGGACTGCAAGTTACAGCGGGTTGCTGCCCTAGTTATAACTTTCTTGGAGGTTGAACTGAGTGGGTATCGATGCTTGCCTTGTTGGTCCGCCACCAGCACTGAGACTTTTTGTTTTAGTCTCAGTGTGTCCAACCTTTAGGCCTTTGTTGGTCTGTCATCCAGATTGAAATATTCTGGTCTCTGAGTGTTAAACTTTCAAGTACCGGTTTTTTTCCGGAAACATGACATAACCTTAAAATGAGCCCTAACTAATTTTTAGGATGCTTGTAATAAAAGCACTGTCCCAAACATAAGCCTTAGTTAGGAATGTCAGCCAGAGGACGGACTTCGCTGCTTTTTTTAAACATATGATGGGCGTGTTGAATTAAAAAGTAATGTAGAAATAAATATAGTTAAATAATGTAACCTATGTAAATTCTTTAAATAAAGTATATGTAATTATGTATTTGTTTTAAAAAGACATGTAAAATTAGAAGAAAAAAAAATCAATAAGACATTCCTGTGTATTAAGCCCATTCTGGAATACAGTAGCAGCCAGGAGGGATTAAACGGCCCGCATGCTCGCGCGCAGATACGTACAGGGGATAAACGCTCGCCTGCTGGCCTGAAAGTCTGGGGTTAGAATCGCCATCAAGACCGATTTGTATCATCTAGTAAGTGGTGACTAATTAGAGATTTTTCATTCGAAGTCAGAGTTTAACTGCCTGAGCGGCGAGGAACCATCAGTCTGCATACAAGTAAGGCAAATCTGTGAAACGGATGTGCTCAGTTAAAGCTTTTTAGCTCAGCTTGATAAAAGTAAAAGGAAAGTGACAGAATATTGCATTATATAAGAAACTCAAGAATACTTTATAATGCAGATGACACAGATATCGTTGGGGAAAACGCTGACTGTTTTTCACGAATGTAGCTAAAAAAATGGGTCTAGCCATTACGCATTTAAAAAAAAGATAAATAAAGATTCAGTATCATCAACATGTGCCCTGCCAACTAGCGTAGGGGCGCATGCCTCTCCACAGATCAGGATCCCTGGTTGCCTGGAACAGCTCTCTTGATGATATCCCTCCATGCCATCATTTTAGCCCATCTGGCATCATCTCTCTTGGTCTGCCTCCACCCCTTTTTCCACTGATCTTTCCAATTGTCACGATGTTCTCCAATGTCTCTCTTCTCATTATGTGGCCAAAGAACAGTGTTTGTCTCTTTCTTATTGTTGTATATAGAGATCTACTTTCATTAGCTCATTTCAAGCAATCGTTGTTAGTTACTCTGGCCGTCCAAGGTATTTGTAACATTCGTCTCAGAAACCACATCTCTGTTGCTTTCAAATTCTTCTTAATTTGTTCACTGACATTCCAAGATTCGCAGCCATACAACAGAATAGGTTCTATGGAACATTTTAGTACCCTTTTTCTGACATTAAATGAGAGCGATTTATTGCATAAGATATTTTTCATTTTCTGGAATGCAGCTTTCGCTTGACCTATTCTTCTTTTAATCTCTATTACACATTTTCCATCTGATGATATGATTGTTTCCAGATATAATAAAGAATACATGGTAATATAATAATATGGTAATATTAGGGTAGGAAAATATATAACTCCAGCCACATACAGAGTCTTACTAGAAATCTTTGGACCCATCAAAGATGCAAACAGCGGTGAATGGAGAGAGAAGCAACAAGAAAATGCATAATCTGTTTAAATCACCACTGATCACTGGCATCATGAGAGCTAAGAGACTTAAATGGTTGGGGCATATTGAAAGGATGTCAGATGGCAGAGAAGTAAAAACTGTATACACCTGGGAGAGGAATGGTGATAGACCACGAGGCAGACCAAGAAGACGATGGAGAGATAATATCCAGATATGAACACTGTAGCCTTGAAGAACATCCACATGGGTCTCTCTCTGACTAAAGGCATCTGTTAACCGTACAACGCAGCCGTAAAACGAACCGATCACCTTCAGAGAGCAAGGCAAACGTCTTGACAGCTTCGCCACAGAGACATACATTATACTTACTGACACGATAAAGTGGAAACGGTATCTTTACTTACCCTTGAAGCTCGGGGAAGGTTCAGAAGCGAGAGGCAAATGGAGGATGTCGTCAAGTGAGATGACCACTCATTATATACTGTCCATTTCAAGGTGCCAGGTTGATTCACAGGTAGAATGTAAAGATTACGAAGGCTTAATGCGAGACGGAGATGAGGTCCATTTGACAGGTTCGTGGCGTATGACACAGGTCTGGGGTACAAACAGTTCTATTTGGTCCAACATTTGGTTGCCTGGGGCCGGGTTTAAACAGTGATTAGGTTTTAGTAGACACGTTAATCTGTCTACTTTTGTAAACTACTGACTGGAGTGAGATGTGACTGACCTGTTCGATTTGAAGTGTGAGCACCTGATAGTATGTATGTATGTATGTATGTATGTATGTATGTATGTATGTATGTATGTATGTATGTATGTATGTATGTATGTATGTATGTATGTATGTATGTATGTATGTATGTATGTATGTATGTATGTATGTATGTATGTATGTATGTATGTATGTATGTATGTATGTATGTATGTATGTATGTATGTATGTATGTATGTATGTATGTATGTATGTATGTATGTATGTATGTATGTATGTATGTATGTATGTATGTATGTATGTATGTATGTATGTTATGTATGTATGTATGTATGTATGTATGTATGTATGTATGTATGTATGTATGTATGTATGT